GCCCGGCAAGGAGGGCGAGGGGGAGGGGAGAGAACTTTTGCTGTGGCAGCTCCGGCGACAGCTCCCACCCCTGCGCCTTTCTCCTCTTCCTCCCCCTCCTCCTCCTCCTCTTCCTCCTTCTCTTCCTCCTCCCAGAGCAGTCGAGAGGCAGACATGGCGCGGCTAGAGCGCCGCCGCGGTCGCCGCCGCTGCCGGCGCGGTGCATTGTGGGAAGCCCCGCACACAGGAAGCGCTCCGGGCCGCCCGCCCTCGCCTGGCGCGGAGTTCTGGCTGCGAGACCCAGCGTGGCTCTGATTCCGGCGCCTGCGTGTCAGTCGCGCAGCGTGACCGGGGAAGCTGGCTCCGCGTCGCGGTTGCCCGTGATGGGCCTTGAAGGAAGATGCTTTGAAGTAGATCGGAGCCGAGAAAGCTCCTGAGAGAAACGTGCACCCCTTGAGGCTCTGTGCGTAGCTGGCGCCCTGAGAAGTGAGGAATGGGGATTAATAGCGGTCCGGGCCCAGGGATGTAGAAGGGGTGGGAACGTAGTGGAAAGGTTCGGCCAGAATTTCTTGGATCTTTCCTTTATCCTCTTACCTAACTAGCCTCTCCTCTGCGACCCCAAGTGTCACCTTTTCCGGAAGATGCAACCCTGTACCCTTGAAAGTAGAAAACCTTGTTGGAGTCTACAAACCGTAAAGCAGGATGTGGGCACCGTGAAAAAAACAAGAGACCCCATTCAAGACTTTCTTGGGCCCAAACCTCGTTCTGCGGACCAACAAAGAATGCATGGTTATGATCTGTAAAGATTGCTCAGTTGTCCTGTCTTTTGGAGACCCTTTGGTGACCTTCACTAAATCGTGTCCTCCCTCTACTAACATCAGGTCCCTGCTTGCCTGCAAAGTTCCTCACCTTTTTACCCACACGCTAGTACAAGGTCAGCTAGGTAACCTAATCTGTTGAGTGAATGCTGAACGGGTAGCAGGAAGTTTATGAGATGGAGCACCTTCCTTACGGTTTCTTCACAAATCTCAAGGCTTTATTTAGCACCTCTCTGCAATACTTAAACATAACCTTTGAGGTGAGAGGGAAAGGACATTAAAATATCTACATAACCATTTCTGGAATTCTCTCCTTGTCCACACCCACCTCCTCACCCCTGGATGTGCATTTGAATAGTGCTTTTGGCAAAACTCCAAACTTCCGAATTATGCACTCATGCTGACACTGAATTAGATTACTGTCTGAAAGGTTAATGTGCCCCCGCCCAGCATTAACCTTAGTTAATCGTGATGCCCGTTTGAAATAGTTGAGGCACAGAAGTTCAGTGGCGCTCAGACACAGGTAACTAGGAAATGCAAGGAGGAGCCAACAGCTCTACGATAAACCCTACGTTCGATTTCTCCACTGAAAAGTATAAATTTTAATAAGATGACAGCGCATATTCTGAATGCTAATTGTAACAAAACAGTGATATAAGCCAGAGCAAGGGACAGTTATCTGGAGGACAGCCTTCTGGCAACCTCCAGCAACTGCAATGGCATCAAATTCAGATGTTTAAAAAAAAAAAAAAACTGCAGCTAAGAAACCATTTTAAGCTCTGGAGAAGTTAATAATTAGAAAGAACTGAAAGCCTACGGTTACACCCAATGGGCTAAGGTGGAGAGGGTTGTTACTAGAAATAGATCTTATTCTTTGTTTCTGAACAAAATTAAGCAGTGAGGAAACAACCATCTAAAGTGGACAGAAGGAAGAAGACTACAGACCATGACGGCCAAAGGAATGATCATCGTAGGCCCTTGATAGCTTAAACCTCTAGAGATACTTCCTGGCCCATTTGTTACCCGTGCTGCTGTTGGCTGCTATTGCTTACCTCCCCATTGCCCAGCCCTAACCATTCAGCTTGCTTCCTTTACTTCTCTCTTAATTCTTTTTTTTCCCTTTTAAAACAGTACTACCAAGAGACTAGAGAGGTAGCTCAACATCTCTGAGCACTTGCTGCTCTTTCAGAGAACCCAAACTTGATTCCTGTCATTTACTGCATTACTGCAGCGACTTCCTCTTCTGGCCTCCAAGAGCACCTGCGCACACAGCAGGTGCCACACACTATCTGCATTAATAAAACTAAGAAAGAAGCAAGGACCGGAAGGAGGGCTCCGCAGGTAAAGGCACTTAACTTCTCAAGGCGGGCAGATGGAGAGAACCAACTCCACAAAGTTATCCTCTTAACCTCAACATGTGCACACACTAATAATAAATAAAAGTTTAAAAATAACTAGACTCATAAGTTACAGATACAGTACCAAACACTTCACTTACTCTTCACACAGCTTTTCCCAATGCTATAACAAAACTCTAGGAAGACATCAAAATTAACAAATTGACAAGAGCATATGACTCTTCAGTATCTGTGACTTTTCAACCCGTGTGTTTACAGTTTGCCTCTGTTCCTGTGTGTAGAGCTGTGCTCCTGTCCCCCCAATGAAAATATAGAACCACTCCTTGCAGATACGGTGGCGCATACCTTTAACGCCAGAATTTAAGAGGCAGAGGCAGTCAGATCTCTCTGAGTTCGATGCCAGCCTGGTCTAAGACAACCAAGGCTATGCAGAGAACCCTGTCACAAAAGAACCCCCCTTTGTCACCTCTTAGGGTTTTTACCTGAACTGCTCCTCAGCAGCTCATGTGTCAAAAGACTTGGCCCTCGGTGTATTGGTGTTCAGAGGTGGGGTTTATGTGCGGTGATGAGCGCATATGGGCTCTAACCTTATCAAAGGATTACTACAATACCCTAGTTTAATAATTTGCCACATGTGTCAAATGTTGAGTTTTTTTTATTGCTGAGTAGCATTGTATTGCTTGGATACACTAGAGTCCATTCATTCATTCGCCATGTACATAGAAGTCGTTGCTTATTTGGTGTTAGCACCCAAACTGCTGTGATCACTGTTCTATAGACTTTTGGTTCTGTGTGTTGGTTGGTTTTTCCAAGCGCTGAGGATTAAACCTTTCATAGACCAGGAATGTGCTGGAATACTAAGCTTCATCCCCAGTCTGTGTATATAGTTTCTGTGTAAACTTAAGTTTCTATTCTCTGGGATAAATGCCCAGGAATATGACTGATGTGTCATATGGTACATGCAATCTTTTAAGACAGGTTCTCTCTATGTAGCCCTGGCTGTCCTGGAACTTGCTATGTAGACCAGGCTAGCCTCAGAGTCACAGCGATACTTCCTTCTGTCCCTCCTGAGAACTGAGATTAAATGTGTGGGCCACTACCCTCAACAGCATGCTTTTCTTAAGAAACTCCTCAGAGGCAAGTGCATCTCTGTGAGTTTGAGGCCGGCCTGGTCTACAGAGCAAGTTCCAGGAAGGACAGCCAGGGCTGCACAGTGAAACCCTATCTCAAAAAATAAATAAATAAATAAATAAATAAAACGAAGAAACTCCTATACCAAGCTAGGGGTGGAACTAAATTGGTGAAGTGTTTGCCTAGAATACACGGAGCCTTGGTTTCCATCCCAAGTTCTTCATAAAACCAGGCCTGGTGGCACGTGTCCATATTCCCAGCACCAAGCAAGTAGAGGTAGGAGGATCAGAAACTCAAGGTCATCCTCAGCTATATAGTGAACCCAAGGCCATTCTGCGATATCTGAGACCCTGTTAAGGAAAAGAGAAGAGGGAGGAAAAGAAAGAATTCACTATATTATATTCCAGAGTGATTATATATTTTGAAATAATTTTATTACATGCATTTATCTATTTGTGTGGGTGGGGGTACATGCCACTTCGAATGTATAAACATCAGAGAACAACTTACTTGAGTCTGTTCTCCTAGGGATTGAACGTGGACCACAGTGCCCTTCCCCCACTGAGACAGCACAGCCCTGATCTTGTCATTTCCCACCTGGCAGCAATATTTGAGAGATCTAGTCACTCCCATCCTCGCTGGCGTTCTCCAGTGAATGGTGTTGAACTGAGTATTAGTTTAGTTCTTCTCCTTTAAAAACAAGCAATACTCTCCCGACTCCTGCTTTCATCAGTGGGCTTGTGAAAATACACGGGTCCTTTTGTTGAAAGATTTCACTACAGACAACCCACACTGGTAAGTCAGGTGTCTTAAAACATTAAACTTTGTGTCTTAACTTTTTAACTTTTTTCTTGTGTCTGTGTGTGTATGATGGGAGGAGCAGTTTGTGCCATGTCACCCTTGTGGTTGTCAGGTGGCAACTCTGGAGTCGGTTCTCCCTTTGCATCTTCATGTGGATTCCAGATGAACTCGGGTCAGCAAGCCTGCACAGCCTGCACCTGTGCCAGCTGAGCCATCGTTCTAGCCTCCCCAGGATCTGTCTGTTAAATGGGCCAGTTCTGCTTGAGAGTCAGTAGAAATTAAACCGAGGTGCTCGGGAACCATGCAGGTAGCAAGCCCCATATGCAGCAAGTCAAGCCGGTAAGGCGAACTGAGTGAGCAGATGTGGGAACAGTTGATAGTGAAAGGGGTGGAAGAGGCAGAACACTCCAACTGGTCCAGAGGTCACAGCCGCGGGCTGCAGTACCAGCCAGCAGTTTCCAGGTTAGGAACATGAAGATAAGGAAATTAGAGAAATCGGGAATCGGAATTGAGGGTCAATTAGTAACTTTGTTTGTTTTCTACAGCTTGGCTAAGTGGTGCACATGTTTAGTCGGGAGGCAGAGGCAGGTGGTTCTCTGTGAGTTTGAGGACAGCCAAGGCTGTTGCACAGAGAAACCCTGTCTGGAAAAAAAAACAAAAACAAAAAACAAGATCTTGCGTCTCCCAGGCTGGCTGACAGCTTGCCGCAGACTTGCTATATAGCAGCGACTGTCCTGCAGCATCCGATCCTCCTGCTTCCACCTCCCAAGTGCTGGGTTTACAGGTGTGCACCAACACGCTCAAACACTTTATTGTGTTTGTTTGTTTGTTTGTTTTGAGACAGTCTCACATAGCCCTACCTGGTCATGAACACTTGATCCTCCATTGCCATGATGATAGGCATGCACTACTATGCCCAGTTTTGACTCCACTTCTGTAGAATACAAAAACATGTCAGAAAATATGTCTGTGGGCTAGATTCAGCCTGCAGACACCACTGTTTTTCCCCCTCTGGTGTGGAACAATCCACGGGCTGCATGGACCAGCAGCTTTGGTGAAGGACTGCCGAGCCTTCCACAGCCCCTCCTAGACTCTCCCTCTGGAATGTATTCTCTTAGCTTCTGATCCCCTGACTTCTTTCTCAAAGCAGTGTACATTTATCCCAATCCCCAAAGACTTCTGCAGGACTATATAGTCTGCCTCGCCCCACAAACTGTCTTCTAAGCTTCCTGGGTCCCGGGCTCAGGACTGTGTGGACTGCTCCTTCTCCACCCACGTGACTGCTTGTTGTAGTTTGTCGGGGCTGATTCTACCTAGCACAGAAACTTCGCTTCTTTTTGCAGAGCCTGAAATTCGAGGCCTTGTCCAAGTCTGGGTTGGAGGAGCCTCCAGCTAAACCTTGTCAGTCCCGCAAGCTTGTCCTGCTCCTAAGAGCCCTCTTTGCCAGGGACACCCCTCCTGAGCCCCTGCTTCAGATGTGAAGGGCAGTTCAAGGTCAGTGAGATACATGCAGATTTCCAAACACATCAGTGCTATCTCAGTGGATTCAATCACGTAGGAATAAAAAATATTTGGGGAAAATACCTCCTGTATTGCCATACAGACTTCATTTGCCATAGGCCTTCATTCTGACCTAAACACTACAGTGTAAGCGTTTACATTCTGTGAGGTAATAGAAGAAACCGGAGCTGGATTC